TCCAAGCATCCTCTTACACAAACGATGACATCATTCCACGTGGGAAATAGGGTAATCCGAGCCTGGAAAGGTAGCATAAGGCCATCTGGCTAAACCTCTTAATTGTCAAGTCTGCCTTGGCTCTGCTCCCTGCAGCCCTGCTGTGGGGCAAGCGTCTGCTCTCCTGCCATAGGCAGATGACAAGGGGAGGAACAGAGGGGCAAAGAGCCTAGTCTAGTGCTCAGAGGTAAATCATCATCAACAAACCTATCGGGGAGCAATTATGTCTCAGGCACCATGGGAGGTGCTGTGTGTGTGATGTGTGGGGAGTAGGAGGGAATACATAGAAATGAGGGCGCACCTGAGTTCAAGGATTTTACAATCATCTTATTGGTGAGGCTAAACACATCCCAGAGAGCTAAAAAATACAAGACACCATATACCAAGTGCCAAACAATAAATGGGGGGTCTACAGTATGATAAACATTTATTAAGTGGCTACTATGTGCCCAGCATTGTGCTAAATGCTGGGGATACCAATAAGAAAAAGACAGTCCCTGCCTTCAAAGAGCTTACAATCTAATAGAGGAAGACAATAGTAATAATAATAATATTATTTAATATTGTCCCTACTTGGGAAAGAACCCTGTGGGTTTAAACAGTTGCAGGAGGCCTTAGAGTAGGACTTAAGCCTTAAAGGATAAGTTGAGGGTTTCTTGGCAAAAAGTGGTGTGCCATTTCCTTCTCCAGCTCATTTTATGGATGAGGAAACTGAGGCAAACAAGGCGAAGTGACTTGCCTAGGGTCACACAGCTAGTAACTGTCTGAGGCCAGATTGGAACTCAGGAAGACTCATCTTCCTGACTCTAGGCCTGGCACTCTACGGACTATGGCGCCACCTAGCGGCCCTCAGGTAGGACAGACAGGATTTCGTGAAAGCAAGAGAAAAGCAAGTCATCACAAGCAGTGCAAGCAAAGGCATTATAAACAGCACCCTGTGCTTTGGGGATAGGGAGTATTAGTTTGGCTGTGGCAGGTGACACATGGGGAAGATGGAGGGAATAAAGTTGGAGAGGTGGATTGTGGCCAGATCGTCGAGGGCTGTGAAAGCCAGGCCAAGGAGTTTGTACTTCGTCCTCTTTGGAAGCAGACTTTTGTGTAGGATCTTGATATGCACACAAAGCAGTGTTCACAGTAGAATCTTCCAGAGATGGATTGGAGATGGAAGAAAGCTAGAGGCAGGGAGATTCAGCAGGATAATGGAAGCTTCTTGAGGGGAGGGTCTGTTTCATTTTTATTTTCACATGGATCCCCAGAGCCCTTGCACGGTATCCCGTCCCTAGCAAGAGTTTAATAAATGTTTGGTGGGTGGTCTAGCCTCTAGCCACAATTGACAAATATCAGGACCAGGGTGGTGTTAGTGAGAATGGAGAGGAAATTAAAGGCAGGAAGCAAATTCCTAAATTACCACATTGCCATAGGGAATGCAGTGAACTGGGGTTGTTTGGAGACTTGCTGCCATGATGAATTTGCTATACGTTAAGTCTCAAATCCTATTTTAGGTGATATCTGCTATAGCTAAAAGCTCTGTTTAGACTGCTTTGAAAATTGACTTTTGGGAAGCCAAATCTTGAGACGTTTCCTTTTTGGCCTGAAGAGAGAAATCCTTTCAGGAATGGAAACTGCAGCAGAATCACCAGTCCTAACTCACATGCTCCCCCTAATAACTAACATCAGCGTGGTCTTGAAACGTCTGATATTTGATTAAAACACCCTTGGTTCTGCACAGTAGGTGCTCTATGAGTACTGTCAATTGAACCAAAGACCTTGTCCATGTCCAAGAATCTGAATAGTCAGCAAGAACACAAGACTGCCTCCAAAAAGTCAAATCATACTAATTAGTTAATTAGCTGATTAATTAAAAGTTAATCATATTAAATCCCACTTACCCCTATCCTGTTTTTATTTTTACTTCAAAATTTTATGTTCTGAATTCTCTCCCTTTTACCTCCCTCTCTCTGCCTCTCCCCCTCACCCGGGTCAGAAAAACAAAACAAATTACAAATATGGATAGTTAAACAAGTCAAATTCCCATATTAGCCATGCCCTTTGCCCCCCAAATGTGCCTCAATCTGTACTCTGAGTTCATTACCTTTCTACCTGGAACTAGGTAGCATGTTTTATCATGAGTCCTCTAGAATTGTGGTTGGTCATTGTGTTGATCAGATTTCCTAAGTCTTTCAATGTTGTCTTTACAGTATTGTTGTTACATAAATTTTTCTTCTGGTTCTGTTCACTTCACTTTGCATCAATTCATACAAGTCTTTCCAGGTTTCTCAGAAACCATCTCTTTCATTATTTCTTATAGCACAATAGTATTTCATCACATACATATACTAAAACTTGTTACAATTGATGGGCACACCCATGCACAGTTGAACAGTTTTAGGGACATAGTTCCTCATTGTTCCCCAGAATGACTGGACCAGTTCAGTTTCACTAACAGTAAAGTACCTGTTTTCCCTCAACCCTCCCAGCATGTCATTTTCCTTTACTGTCAACTTAGCCAATCTGATGAGTATGAGGTAGTACTTCAGAATTGTTTTAATTTGCATTTCTCTAATTATTAGTGATTTAGAGCATTTTTTCATATGGCTTACTGATATCTTGATTTCTTCCTCTTAAAACTGCCTATTTATATCCTTTGACCATTTATCAACTTGGAAATGGCTTATTCTTATAAATTTGATTCAGTTCTCTATCTTAGAAATGAGACTTTTATCAGAGAAACTTGTGGCAAATTTTTCCCCCCAATTTCTTTCTTCTCTTCTGATTTTAACTGCATTAGCTTTATTTGTTTAGAAACCAATTTTATGTAATAAAAATTGTCCATTTTATCTCCTGTAAGCCTCTCCATAACTTGTTTGGTCATAAACTCTCTATTTGGGGTCTGTTTTGGAAAAAAATTCTATGTGGTGAGGTTAGGTTGGGCCAACTTGGGAAATCACTATGTGGACAACTAAAGTTAGCCTAATGCCAGCCATTCATTATCTTGGAATAAGTTACCAGTGCTAAATTAAAATATCTATTTATCTGTCTGTCTATAGATATGTATTTTAAAAAGAGGAGTATGATTTATGGTATTCCTCCCCCAAAACCTTGTAATATATTGCCTGTTCCCTTAAACACACAAACACAAAATAGTAATTCCATATGTAATAAATGGCTCACGGATCACATCAAATGCCAACATTCCATGCACACTTTGGTGCTTACCTGGCAAGGATGCAGGGTAGCTTCCTTCTTCTCATTGGAGTGGATGGAGCAGTAAGGCTACCTAGGTGGCTCTGACACGTCGATCTTCTTTGTGTTCTTGCATGTGGAGGCAGTGCCATAGGCTCGGCAAGGTGAATGGCTTTAGATCACAGGCAGCAAACTACTGGTTTATAGCTATAAATCCTCTCACAGCGTAACCCTAGTTACTAGGCTGAACATCCCCTGATGCTGTATTTATGTAATCAAATTCTGCCGTTTAGCCTTCCACAAATCTTTGTACTGGATTATTGTATCTAAAATAAGCTGTACTTTCCCCTTACATGACATGTCTCAACTCAGACGCCCTTTCTACAGTGAGAAAAAAAATGCATATAAAACTTCGATGTAGAGATACTTTATAATGCATTGGACAAATCAACTGTCTATAATGCTGATTAAATTGGTTGTCGAAATAACCCAGTTTCAACTTATAGGCATTATGGCCTATGAGTTTGGTGTGGTGTAATAAAGGGGAAATGAATTACATATTCCCTAATATTGTGCTGAAAAATTCTAGAAATGGCAAACATGATTTTTCATAATTCTCTATGCTTTCCTCTTTGCCTATTAAATTACTTTACATCCTTTAAAGCCCAACTCAAAACATCACTTTGTCATCTCTGAAGTCTTTCTTAACATTCCCCTTGGGTAACCAACCCTTCTCTGCCTCAAACTTCACATCAGTTTTTCCACTTACGAGACAGCACAGGAGTGGAAAACAAAGCACTGGCTCTAGAATCAGAGAACTTGGGTTCAGATTTCATGATGAGCTGTCAGCCTGATCATCACTGAGTCTCCCTAAGCCTATGCCCTAATCTGTAAAATGGGTGAGTTGGACCAAGGAACCTCTGAGGAGCCTTCCAACCAAAGGTCTACGATCCTAACGTACTCATCATGTAAAGCAGGCATTGGCAACCTGTAGCAGGTGGCCTGTTTTTGTGAAAAAGTGAAAACTATTCTTAGCTCACTGACTGGCCTTACAAAGACAGACATGGGGCTGGATTTGGGTCTTGGGCCATAGTTCGCCAACCCCTGGTACATTGTCTGGTTCTCTGTGTCATTGCCTTACCAGACTACTTGCGCAACAAAAGAGATCATGTCTTCCCTAACTTTCTATTTCCCCCAGGGCCGAATGTAGTGTTCTGGATATTTCTTAAAACCTCATTATTTCATAGGTCAAAGATTTCATCCATAGAGACATTCCCTCTACTAATGAAAATCATGATTCTTCTATAATTTATCCTCTCTCCAAGTTTCTGTGGCCGACCTGGTGAGATACATTTTCAAAATTGGGGAAGGCTAGTCTTTGAACAATAGACATGGAGCCCATCCTCAGATTGTTTGGTTGGACCTGTCAGAGCTTGTGCTCTGTTGGCAGAAACTTACATTTGCTGAACTGAATTAGAGGGGCAAAATGTAGAAGTGGCCTATATTCTTTAAATGTCTTTAAATGGGATAAAAATTTTTGTCTCACACTCAAGGATTTCCCAGGTTGGCAATAATATTTGCCTCTAGGTTTGAAGCTGCCAAATGTTCTATTTCATTCATCAAAGGATAGAGAAAGGCTTCAGCCAGTAGGACCAATTTTTCTGAAGAATTACTGTTGCTTTCACAATTTGAAAACAATTTAGATATCTTTTGCATAGCAGGCTATGTACTTTATACAATCATTTTTATGTGTGTCAAACAATTGAGAAAAGCCTTAATTTAAAAAATAAAGTATTTATTTGACTTTATAAAGATATAAATTAATTTTATACCATCTGGCATAAAGCATGTGTAAATTCTCATTTTACAGTACTGAATATCTTCAAAAACAGCACTTCATTGATGAAAATAAATTTTACTCTGTGAAAATCTGTCCTCTCAGCCTACGCTACCTATAGCTATAAAGATATATATATATATATATATAATGTATGTATGTATATGTATATATAGATATATATGAAATGCTTTAGCAGCATTTCAACAGAGAGCTCATCTACAATCAATGAGCTAGCAACAGGTAAACAATATGATTGACTTTACAATATAGCTGTATATTTCCTCCAATGTGTAACAGTTTCAGGATAGGAAGTCTGTTCCCAGGGGCACACTAGAATCTTTATCAATGAAGATGTCGAGCCTTCCAATCTCTATACAGAAATGTATTTACATTAGAACTTTCAATCTGCAGAAAAGGCATGACTCTACAATTAAGGCAGATCCATCTAACGTGTGGAAACAGGCATTCAACACCTTGTTCAAGTTTCCTGAAGAACAAAGCCCAGGTTAGAAGACCCACTATTCAAAAACCAAAAATCCAAAAACCCAACCCAGACTGGAACCAATGGAGAAGCACCAACATGTTTTCTCTTGTTGAATGGCTACAAGTAGTATTGACAATGAAGCTCCAAAACTATGGGTTGGGAGAGAGCCAGCAAGAGGGAGGCAGCTTACAAATCGTTCTCATCAGTGCTTTGATCTGTTTTGAAACGTGTAGCCCTTACTCCAACAAAGGACTTTAAAACAAGATTGTGTCATTTTTGCTTTATAAAGACTATTATTTAAAAAGACTATTAGTACCAACCTAGGACTTATGACTTTAAGTGAAGAGAACAAGATATTTGGCCTTAACACCCATTAGAACCCTCCATTTTCAGGAAAGATCAACAGTGCATACCTGGATTTTCTCTTTGTGTACATGAACACACCCACACACATTGCATAAGAGAAGTTACATTTGACCCACCCCCTCAAAATAGGGGCAAATTAAATTTAAAAGTGCAACCACAAAGGCCATTCTATACAGTAAGAGCACAATTTACATCCCTTCCTCCCTGTCCTTTGCCTTTCCAGAGGATCAATATTAACCTACTGATTCCTAAGGTCCCTCCAGCACAGGACTCTACATCATGAAAATAGAACTTTCACTCAGTGCTGCCCAAGAGAGCTCAAAGGTTCTGTCCTGGCTCAGTACGTAGAGACACAAGCATGTTCACGAGACCATCTTCATTGGTTTAGTCTGAGCGCAGCTGCCCAGGCATCACTGCTGGGGAGTGGAGGAATGACCCACCCTTGAGGAACTGAGGTTGCTTCCGGATGATCTGCGGGTACCAAATACTGATCCCATTCGTGCCTTTCAAAGAACATTTCAGAAGAAAAGTTAATTTCAGTTTCACTTTAGCAAAACATACAATTTATTTTTGTTACACTATTATAGAACCTGTCTTGTTCTAAAATGTAAAAGATTAAGTTTCTTAAATGTAAACAAAGAGAATAAAACAATCTTTACTTGTTTCTTTTTTCAACTACAAATACTGTCAATTGATTAAACTCCTGACTAAAATATGGAAAGTTATTTTTGGAAGTTCAGAATTGTATCCAAACATAAATGTTTTGTCCTTCACCAGAATACAGGAAGTAGCTCTCCTTAGTATGGAAAATGCTACGTTCTTAGGGAATCACAAAATGTGAGAGAGGAAAGGGATCTCTGAAGGTTATCTTTAGTCCAATTCCCTAACTCTACAGATCAGAACTGTGAGACCAAGGGAGGCCAAGTGACTCGCCCTAGGTTACGTGGGTTATAAATAACAGAACCAAGATTCAGATATCCACCCTGAAAAATCCCTATCCTTCATGTCACAATTTAATTCCATTTCAGAGATGAGGAAAATGGAGTCAGTGATTTGCCCAAAGTCACCCAGATAGGAAAGGATGAAAACACAAGGCTCCTGCTCTCACAGGACCTAAGTTTCAAAGACTTAAGTCCAGAACAGATTTTACAAGATTATTACTGTCCGTTCCACTGTCAGTCCTTGTTGATAAGTTTATTTTGCATTCGCATGAAGAACTGGAAAAATGATGCTAGCACTTCACATCAATATTGTCTGAGTGTCAGTATGGTGAAAAGGAAAAATAACCTTCCCTTTTTCAGTATGTACTCCAAGACGCCAGTTACAAGAGGAAGTACCAGAATAAGAAAGGTCATAGTCCTATACGTCCTGTACAGATCAGACCAGAACTGGGGTGGCATCATCCCCCAGGGTTCCACATTTTAATTACAATGACATGGTGGAGTACATCCAGAAAAGGTGACTAGCATGGTGAGGGAAGAGGAGACCATGCCACAAGAAGATGGACTGAAGGAACTAGGGATGTCTAACCTAAAGAAGAAAAGATTCTGGGTATGTGGATAGGAAGAAATGATAGTGGTCTTCAACTATTTTACAGGCCATCATGTGCAAGGGGCAGTAGACATTTCTTATTAGCCCTGGAAGGCAGGGCTCAGAACACCAGGTAGAAATCACAAAGGCAGGTCTGGCTTGGTGCAAGAAAATCTTCCTAACACAGACTTATCCAAAAGTGGAATGGGCTACTTTGGAGGGTGATGGGTTGCCCTTTATTGGAAGTCTCTGAGTGGAAGCTAGATGGTCACTTGTCATGTAAATTATACAGGGGGTTCCTTTTCAGAAATAGGTTACATCAGGTGGCTTATGGGATACCTTCCACCTGTAAGCTTCTGTGATAAAAGTCAGAAGACCTAGGATTCTTCACCAGACTCTGCCACTAACTAGCTATGTGGACAAGGGAGTCAGTTAAACCCTGTTGGACCCATTTTGGTATCTATGTAATTAAAGACTTGGACCACATTATCTCTCAAGTCCCTTCTTAGCTCTTAGCCTTACAAAAATAATAGCACTAACATTCTGATTCTAAAAGTCTATTTCATAAGTAACATGATACAGGGCTGTACACGAATAACTTGACAAATTAACATAATTCTACTACGTCACATTAACTTCTTATTTATTTACTGGAAAGGGAGCCTATCATGATTACAAATAACTAATGCTCTTACCTGATCTGAATGAGAGCTGGTAAGGAATGTTCTGCCTGTAGATAATACTGCCTGAAGGGTTGTAGGAGGTGACTAAGTGGAAACTCAGCTGAAAAAGAAAAACCAAACATAGCTACAACTACAACCAAATACAGCATACAACTTATTATTTCTTACATTCAGAATAACTTATAAAACTATGGTTAGCAAAGTACATCAACTTAGTCTATTACTGTGATGATTTGATAGACTTTTATATGGTTAATCATCTCATTCCAATTCTTACTATTTAAGACCCTGCAGAAATAAACAGTTTATTACCTACCAGCTTTCTAAAGAAATTTCTGTTTATCTATTATCAATATTCTTCATTTTCTGGGTGTCCTAGACTCCTTCGGCAGTCTGGTGGAGACTATGGACCCTTTCTCAGAATAGTGTTGTTTTTTAAAAATCATAACAGAAGGAAATACCAAGTTTTACTTAGTCTGTGGAGACCCTTGCTTAATAATTCTTGCTATGAGAATTCCATCTATTTCTTTTTTAGTTACAGAACATACCTGGATCCCCAAATAACTTGGAATTAATTTCTTGTTTCTGATGTAAAATCTTCTCTTTTTCTTTTTTCTGTTTCCTTTCTAATTCTCTTTTTCTCTCTTCTTCTTGTTCTCCCTCCAACATAACTCGTAGTGCCCTTTCTTCAGCTTCATACAGTTCAGTGCGTTTTTTGATTAATTTTCTCAGTCTCTCTACATGATGTTCAAAAGCTTCATCTGCTGAGGCAGGTGGACAAACCCCTGCAAAGAGCGAGCCAAATAACAATTTAGATACATGTACCTAAATATCTGACCGAAGCAACAAAACCTATTACTTTCATGAAGTCACCACAAAATCCCAGCTACAATATGAAAATGTCCACAGCTTAACTGCTGGCATCTGTCAAAGTCCTCACTACCCAAACAAACATTATGGAGAGTACACTGACAGTATTCACTGAAAATCACAAAAGTGATCACAATTTTTGACACAGAGATTAAATTGCTACAACTTTTTCCTTTAAAAAATCATTAAAATGGGGGGGCAGTGGGGGAAGATCTCTTTGCACAAAAATATTTGTAACTGCAACAGCAAGAAAATGAAAACAACTTCTAAATTCAATGACTAAGAAATGACTGAATTTATAGTACTTTAATGTAATGATATTAAGGTGCTGTTAAAGGGATGAAATATAAGGAAATGGATAGAACAATATGAAACAATGCAAAGTGAGAACAGCAAAACCAGAACTGTATACACGTTGACAATAACTATGTGCAAGTGTATGTGTGTATATATACACATATGTACATATGTGTGTATATGTATACAGACACATGTATATATACATACCTACATGTCTATCCATACATATGTATGTGCATATATACAGAGAGCTTTTATAATAAATTTTTTAAATTATACATATTATTGTATAAAGTGTTGAACTTGCTTGACACATTAGTTCTTTTGCTGAACTGCAAAAACCTTTACTTAGCTGCTTATTAAATCGTTAGCTGGTTTCCTATAATTGCCTGCTGGCAGGTCTCACTTTATCTCAGATAGTCCCCAATCTAATCTATCTCACATTAAGCTTCTAGGCTAATCTTTTTTGTTTGTTTGAAGGAAAAATATGAGAACTTTTTGGCTTAAAAAAAAAAAAAAGCATTTTCCTTAAAGTAAATTATATGTACCAAAAGTATACTATGCCTAGCATGAGGAATAGGGAATTCTCCTATTCAGGAAACTCCAAATCCAACTCTGAACATAAGATAATGAAGGAGCAAGACTAGATGATCTTTAAAGTTTCTTTCAGCTCTAAATTTTTGTTCTATAAGAAGGCAATGAAAGCTGATAGCTACGCCTTTCATCAGGACTACTTGGAGGTTGTCATAATGTCTACCCTCAGAAGAGCTAGGGAACTAGAACCTATATGAGTTTATACCCAGATAAGGCTACTAAAAGGCACACAGTGCATTTTTTCCCTGGGCCAAACTTTTTAAAACACATTTATGAAAATGAATGAATGAATGAATAAAAAATAATAAAAACACATTTATGCTCATTTTATACTGTCATTTTAAACTACTAATCTGTTGTTTTATAATTAATTTGCTTTACATGAGGTTTCCTCTAGGACTTATTTCTTCTTTTTCATCCCATAGTACTTAGCATGACACTTCAAAAACAGTGGGTACTGTTTAATAAATTAAATAAAAGTTATAATTGCTGGAGTGTTAGAGGCCAGAATTGAAATTAAATCCTGATTCTGGCATTAACTGTGTGATTTTAAGTTAGCTCTTTCTGAGCTGGGCTCTAAGACTTAATTAAAAAGAATGTGGTCCCTAGTAATTGATATAACCAGGGTTACATAGCTAGTTAGTGGGGCAGTCAGAACCAGAACTCAGGTCTTCTGATTCCAAATCACAGCAATAAAAGCAATTTATATATATTTTAAGATATGATAATAATATTAGCTAACATTTATATAGACAGCTAAGTGTCAAAGTAGGTAGAGCTCTAGGTCTGGAGTGAGGAGGACTCATCTTCATGAGTTCCAATCTGGCCTCAGACATTTACTAGCTGTGTGACCCTGGGCAAGTCACTTAGCCCTGTTTGCCTCAGTTTTCTCATCTTAAAATGAGATGGAGAAGGAAATGACAAACCATTCCAGTATCTTTGCCAAAAAAAACCCCCAATGGAATCACAAAGAATCAGACACTATCGAAACGACTAAACAGTAACAAAACATTTAGATAGTGCTTACTATGTACCAGGCACTGTGCTAAACGCTTTACGATTATCATCTTATTTGATCCTCATAACAACCCTTCGAGGTAGGCGCTATTATTATCCCCATTTTACAGATGAAGAAACAAAAGCAAAGAGCGGTTAAGTGACTTGCCCAGGGTCCCACGACCCCTAAGAAGTATCTGAGGCCAAATTTAAATTGAGGGCTACTTGACTCCAGCATTCTGTACGTTATAGCGCCACCTAGCTGTTGCTCACAACAATCCCATGAAGTAGGTTTTACAGGCGACTCCCCTGAGAAATATCAAACAAACATCAGAGCCAATATTTGAACTCGGTTCTCTTCTACCTCCAACACACCATTTCTTTGCTAATCAAACCACTCAATATTTAATGAATGAGTGACTGCTATGGGCCACAAACAGTGTTAGGTATAAGCGTTATAAAGCCAGAACATAGTTATTGTGCTCAGGAAAGAAGGTACATTCTATCAGGGAAGACACTGCAAACACATACAAGTAAATACAAAATATATATAATGTAAACTGCAAGGAAATTTAGTTGGGGGAGGGGGCTAGAAGGAAGAATGCACCAGAACACATCTGCAAGATTCAAGAAAGGCCACATACAGGAGGTGGTGAGAGAAGTGGAGGCATGGGGAGCAGTCTCTACACAGGTACAGACACAGGAGAAGGAATGTGATAGGAAAGAACAGAACAAAAGATGTGTCTGTCTCAGGAAAAGGAAGAATAGATAATGAGGCTAGAAAGGTGGGATGGAGTCAGCAGGTAAAGGTAAAGGGTTTAAAACACTGAACACAGGATTTTGTATTTGATCCAGATAAAGAGCCAAAGTAATTTACTGAACAGGGGAGTGATGGGATTAGACCTGAGATTTAAAGAAATCACTTTGGCAGCGGGCATGATCGTAAAACAACAGGATCTTGGGGGAAAATTATATTCAGCACACTTTAAAGTTTCATCTGCATTATTTAAATCTTGCCCATCACTTTCTTAAGTCCAATGAAACCCTGATATGTAGCATTTGATTTCCAAAGTGTAAATGTTCACACTGAAAATTTAACAGTCAACTGGTACCAGCTTGTTCCAGCACACCTCAGGATGAAAGTATTAGTTAATATGTAAGTATAAGTAATACATAATATTAGTTAATATATAAATATATTAGTTACCTTTCCTAGCGGCAGCCTCTTTTCTCAGTTTCCTCAGTTTCTCTAAGGCTCGAAGAATATCTACCATTCTCTTGGTATCTGCTTGCTTTTTCCTCACTTCTGATAAAACACCATCAGCAGCAATTTTGAGTTCTTGTTCCTGGTAAGAAAACAAATTATGAACCTTTATCTTCAAGGTCAATCTTACAGTAAGTAGTTGCCTAGAAAGTGTATTTTAAGAGTGGCAATAAAATCATCCAACCTAAAAAATCTTCCCCATTTAATTAAGCAGTACCTGAAATATCACAGGCAATAATACCCTTTGGATTACTGGGGGAAGAAAGAATAAGCTGGTATCAATTAGTACTACTGTGTATCTTTCACATAACCTGACTGTGCCTCAGTTTCCTAATCTGTGAAATGAGGAGGCTGTTTTAGAAGAATTCTAAGGTCCCTTCCAGCTCTAGATTTATGATCTTTTTGAGTTATGTGACAACTGAGATCATGACACTGAGTAAATACGAGTTTTGACTGTGAGATGGTGAGAGGAAGGGATAACTATCCAGGTATTGAGCTTCTAGAACTCTTTGAGGGGAAGGGAGGAGACAGTGCCTCGGCAGCCAGGGGGCATGTAGACACTAATAAATGTAGCACAGGCAGCTCTTCGGTGCTGGGCCTGGAGTTGGGAAGATCTGAGTTCAAATTCAGACCTGAGTCTGAACATTTACCAGCCATGGGACTCCGGGCAAGTCACTTAAGTCGTTTGCCTCAGTTCCTTCATCTCCAAAATGGGGATAATAATAGCACCTGCCTCTTAGGTTGTTGTGAAGATTAAATGAGATAATAATCATAAAAGTGCCAGGCACACAGGAAGCTATACAAAAGTTAATAAATATTATTATACAATGGACAGACTAGGAAGTGACCACAGAACACGGGGAGAAATGCGCAAAAGCCCATTCTTTTCTTTTTTGACGGACAACTTCCAATCTTGCCTAGGCCGTTAAAACCACATAGGGTGGTGTTAATAACCTCAGAAGCAGGAATTTGAGAGAAACTCTGAATGCTGCTCTACTTTTGCCTGCCCTGCAACCAAGACTACTTCTAGTCTTTCTTCTACGGGGGGTGGGGGGGGTGCACCAGGGAGTGGGAGTCGCCCCATCCAGGCTGAGGACCCCCCGGTTCGGATGATGGAATCACAAGTTCAGGGCTGGTAGGGCCCCACATCAGGACCAAGGTCACGGAGTGAGGCCTGGGAGGTCGGGGGCGGTGCCTCCGCCTCCACACTTACCCGGGCCTTCTCCTCCACTTCTTGCACGCACTTGTTCCTCCAGCGGTCGATCTCCTCCTCGCGCTCCGCCGCCCGGGACTGGGCTGCCTCGCGCTCGGCCTCGCGCTCGCGGGCCTTGTCCCGCAGCCGCTGCCGCCGCCGCCGGACGCGCTCCAGCTTCCTCCGCGCGGCGCCCACGTAAGCAGCCTGGCCCAGCGGCTCGAGGTCCCCGCGCAGCTGCTCCCGTAGCGGAGCCGCCTGCTGGTGCAACCGCTCCCAGGCCTCCCCGTCTGCCTCGGCTTCCCGCAGGGCACGGCACAGGCCGCGCAGCCGGCTCACCAGGCGCAGGGCTCCGCGCAGCCGCCACCGGAGCTCGCCGAGGCTGGGCCCGGGCGGAGCAGCCGCCGGCGCTGCCCCTGAGGTCGGCGGGCCGTTCGCTCGCCGTGGGGCTGCGAAGACGGCTTCCAGCCACTGGCGGTCCCGCTGGCGCTGCAGAGCCGTGTCCCCGAGCCCGTCGGGTGGCGGGGCCTCTGCCCAGCGCTGGGCCCACGGAGGGGCCGGGGAGGGTGGCGGAAGCCGTTCCCCGCCCTCGAGCCCCGGGAAAGGCCTACACTGGGGGGGAGGAGGGGGTGGCGGGATAGGGGGCGGCGGCGGGATCGGCGGCGGCAGGAAGGGGCCCGCGCTAGGGCCTGGAGTTCCCAGGAAGGGGCCCAGTCGCGGAGGTAGCGGTGGAGGCGGATAGGCCTGGGGAGGCGGGGGCGGCCCGAAGGGAAGGCATCGGAACGGAGCAGGAGGGGGAGGAGGAGGTGGCGGCGGCGGCGGGACAGGACAGATAGGGGCAAAGCGGCTGGGGTAAGGCGGCAGAGCCATGGACGTGTTACCCCTACCGCCCAAGTGGGCCAGGAGACCCGGAAGAAGCACCGAGAAGTTCCTGGGGCAACTCTTCCGGATATGACGTCGAGCTGAGAGGGCTGACAGCCCCGCCCCAAGAGCTTGCGAGCCAATGAATGAGACTTTATTTTTCGCTGGCCCTTCCCCGTAAACGCTGTCCCTTCGACCCAGGTGCTGGCGAGATTAACACCTGGCTGGGATGGCTAATTCTTTAGACAAACTACGGAGGCGACAAAGTGAGCCGCCAGTCTACAAAGTGAATGCCTGGAGGTCTTTGTTTCAGCCACACTTTTAAAAAAAATTTTTTATTTCCCTTCATCCTATCCCATCCATTTATTCTATTCTCTCTTTTTCCCCTAAAATTATTAGTTGTTTATGTATTATGAGTTTTGGTAAGACATGGTACAGAAGTGAAGGTGTATAGCTCGTACCATTTTTTTTTTTTCCAGTTAGGTGTAGCCTTCATGGCAGCTAGGTAATGCAATGAATAGAGGACTAAACCTGGAATCAGGAAGACCCAAGTTCAAATTCTACCTCAGCTGCTTACTAGCTGTGTGGCCTAGGCACTTAAACTCAGTTTCTTCAACTCTAAAATGGGATGATTATAATAGTCCTACCCCCTAGGATTATTTTAAGGATAAAATTGAGATTTTATAAAGAGCTTTGTAAACCTTCAAGGTCAGCCACATTTCTTTAAAGCACCTTTGGGCTCAGTCCTTGACTGTTTCCTCCCCTGACCAACACCCCCCCCCCACCCCGACTATCTGGTGCTTGTTGCTCACTGTTTCATGGAGATGACAAGATAGCTGTTTCATTGATAGCTTCGTTTTATTCAAATGCCAAAACATTAAGTTCCAAGGTACAAATTGTAGTTACACTGCATTTGTGTTTGATTTAAAAACATCGATCATAATGTTATAAACAGCTTCCAAAACTAAATGCAAGTTGTTTTACTGTTGTCGCTATGTCCCCCGGTTCCGTTTCTGAAGGATTATCCTCAAAAGAATTAAAATCTACTTCGATTTTCTCACTCTACAAAAAGAAAAATTATACAATAAAAGAAAGTAATGAATGAAGTTGCCACACTGTATCAAGGACTTCCTGAAAGTAACTTTAACCATTACTGGGGAGGCTAAGTAGGATTCTTGTTCCTGCTCACTGCTACACAGACCTGACTTGGTGAATGTGCATCTCTGTACCTATCCCATCCAGAGATAAATATTTCACAACTCTCCTATTACCTAAGTCATGTAAAGCCCTAATTAAATTGCCTCTTCAGTACAAGATAAGGGCTTGTAATTAAACTGTTAAGAGCTTAATGTTTTTTCTTTCTGACAAAATGCATGAGGAAAATCCTCATCTTTTGTAAGCAGGCTCAACGATGAAAATAAATGAATGTTTAAACCAGTGTTAAATTCAATTAAAAAAAAAGTGGAACTAGACAACAATAAAACCTGCAGCAACATCTTATAAGGGGAAAAATTTAAAAGGTATCTGAAGATTTTGATAGTTTAAATTTTCTAAAAAATCAAAACTCCTTTGCTAGTTTGCTAAGTTTTCTGCTAAAGGACCAATTTTTTTTTCATGTTTAAGTCCTCCAAGGAATTCAGTTTTGTTCCTCTTTGTTTTGCTGCAAGTCCTAAATCAATGATGACCAAGAAAAAGATGTACAAGAAATGAAAATAACTTAGAAGTCATTTTTGTATGAACAAGTTCACTACTGATTACAGAAAAAAATATACATTTTCTTTCTTTGATGTGGAAATAGGAGGTTGGACAAATATCCAGCACCAAAAAACTGATGCACACTAGAGCTCTTTAGGTAATTGCACAATATTAAAAGTATTTTACTTAAAACTTAAATATACCTACATGCTGTATTCCTCATTTGTTTTTCCTGTTAAGAAATTCACTGAGATTCCAATTATATCCATTGCATTGAAGTGCATCTCAAATGGCCAATAAATCAGACTGGCCAATAAGCAAACTGCCTTTTATAGTGAAACCAATCGTTAAGTTGGTGTCATGAATTAGCAAAGCAGGCTAAGAACATAACTAAACATCATCAAAATTCAGTACTCTTGGGCACTTTTCCATTACTAATATGTCACCATTAGTATCCATTTCAGTTTCAAATGTGAATAAAAAGTCTGATCTTTTCAGGAAACAAATGTGGGTAAAAAAAAGTTGAACTAATGGTATATCAATATTCAGTTTGTAAGGAAATTTATTTTCCCATTTGTAGAGTAACATTATTGTAAAATTCATTAGTTACTGGCAACACCTGCATTGCTTAATATAACTCTTCAGAATTTTGTTAAAGCATATTTTAAAAAACTGAACCAAAAAATGTACATTTTATTTTTGAACATTGTGCCATTAAAGTCCACATAATGTCCACTGCATAAAATCAATGTGATGTTACAATAACATACATGATCTGATTCTTATCCTAAAGGCTTCTGACCATGTATAATATCCTTTAGTGTCGGACTATAAAGCCAGTTGCGATCTTAAAACAAAAGGGAGAAATTTCCACGGGGTGAAGGCTCAACAGTGTTTAACTGTTCGCAGCATCTGCTTGCCGAGGCCATCCTTCCTCTTCAACTCCAGAGTCATACTCCTCTTCAGGGGACTCTTTAGTTGGAGCCCTATGACGAAAAGCAATCAGTTATTCAAAAAAAACAAACTGAAAAGTGTGTGTAGGTATGTTTTTCTAGATGCAAATAAAAATAAATTCCATTCAACATGTCAGCGTTTCATAGCTGGAAAAAACTTTAACACAATTAATATTTATGAAACATTTTCCCCAACACCTTTAATACTGGAAGTAAACACTATACTGAAATGTTTACTTTTGCCATGCGTTGCTGGCCTGGACTAGTGCAGCAGCTTCCTAATGGTTCTCTAGTCGCTCCTCTTTCTAATCCATTCTCCATACAAACTGCTTAAGTACTATTCTAAAGCATGGGTCTGGCAATGTCATTTACTCAAGAAGTGCTGCTGGGTAACACTTTGTCTTTGGGATAAAATATGTCATTCTTTTATCTGGCAATTAAAGCCCTTCCCAGTCTGACTTCCAAGCTATTTTCCCAGGCTAATTCTTTATTATTTCATCATACCCTCTACATTCCAGATAAATGGTCCACTTGCAGATTCCCATACTCAACACTCTATGCCCTGTCTTGCACTCCCCTCCTCACTTCTGCCTCTTGGAATCTTGACTTGACTTCAAAAGCCTCTCCTACAAGGAGTCTGTGCTCCTTACATGTTAATACCCTCCCCTGAGAAAACACTTTGTATTTACTTGGTGTATGTTTTGTGTTGAATTAATTATCTATGTTCCATCTCCCCAGCTCCCACCCCTGTGGAATGTAAGGAAACTCTGAGGATAGGAAGCTATTAATTTTTGTCTTTGTATCTCTCCAGCGCTTTCCACACAGAAATTGTTTTAAAATGCTTGTTGAATGAGTAGTGCAGACAGCAACCAGTCCATGCTACCTCATCCCATGCAACTCTAGTCCATAAACCCCATCTCAGCCCTCCACAGGGGTCCACCTAACATGCCGAAGGCTTTCCTTTAGATCTCTCTACCCATGAAGAAGGTAGGTTTTCCTTTGCTCTACCTACATAGTATTGCTATATCAGAGATTTAAGAATTGGAAGCAACCTTAAAGAGTACCTTGTCCAACTCTTTTAAATATAAGAAACCCAGTCCCAGAGATGTTAAGTGACTTGCCCAGGTCCTCTGAATCCAATCCAGCATTTGTTTAGCTCTACCACTCTACACAGCCAGCCCATCTCCTTTTCCTTCTTTTTTTGTGAGGTAATTGGGGTTAAATGACTTGCCCAGCTTCACACAGCTATTGAGTCTCAAGTGTCTGGTCTGAGGCTGGATTTGAACTCAGGTCCTCCTGACCCCAGAGCCGGTGCTCTTATACACTGTGCCAGCTGGCTGCCCCACCCATCTCCTTTTCTGATCAAACATCTTACTGATCATATCTTTGAAGCTGCTTCTTGGCAACATGGTGCTGCCTACTCACACTCACCAAACATCTCTCTCTATTGCTCTTGGGTGAACAATTTTAATTCTTTGAAGATTAATGTATTCCATGATTTGTAGCAATCTGACATCCCAAGAAAAAATATTCAAAAAGAAAGGCTTTGATTCAGGAAGAAGTCTGAGATCATTAAAGGTATTGCTCAAATTTCCAAGTGCAATCTATATTCTGTTTTCCTACTATTCGTTCCTGGGCTTATCTATCCATTGTGTGTTCAAGACACACAGACACACTCATTCCTTCCTTTTCTCTCTCTCTCTCTCTGTTGGTGTTTGATCAGCTCTGCAGGCTGTCCATCCAATTGCATATTCTAGATAGAAACTCTGAGTGATTACAGACTTCATTAACAGGCTATGCAATGTTTATTTCAGTCATCACAATGCAATCCATAAATTGGAGCATCTAGAGGACTTCATTAACTATAGAGAATCCTCTTACTAGCTGTCTGACCCCGGGCAAGTCACTTAACCCTATTGCCTAGCCAAAAAAGAAAAACAAAGAAAAAAAGAAAGAAAATTACATTAGACATCCTTCATAACAATGGCAAACACTTCTTGCATGCATTTGTTTTCCTCTTGTACATCTCACTTGATATTAATCAGAAATTGTCAAAGTGTCTCTACTGTTGCAAGCTTCAAAAAACCTTGCATGATTTGAATATGTATATGGGAGATTCCTTGTTAGGACAGAACCCTACCACACCAACACATCTTTTTTAATAGTCAATGAACAATAAACACAGTAAGATCTTTTGTTCTCTGTACCCTGCAGTAAACTGTATTACTATAAAGCATGTATCTATAAGACTAATCTGTACCTGTGTTAAGGCCCCTCTTGATGCAGGTATGAAAAGGGAAAGCAGGCATATATTAATATATCACCTGACTTCTTGGGATTGTAATAATTTCTGCAATTTCCCCCCAAATGTTTGATATAGCTCTCTCAAATGTATCTTGACAATTAATCTCTCAACACCCTCAAAAATGCATTACCTACAGTAGGGCCTCTGTATATATCTTGATTGTATAGAATTGTTTGCATGCTATCTCTCCCATTAGACTAGATGTTCCTTGAGAGGAGGGAGTATTTTTGGGGGGCATTTCTTTGTATCCCAAACACTCAGCACAGTGCCGGCACCTAGTACACACTTAATAAAGGCTTGTTGACTGTGTACTTGGCCTGGTCTAGTTGGCTTTTCCCATATTGTTTTCGTTAAAGTTTTTTCTACTCTCTCAGATCTCTTCCTCATTTTTGTC